GAGTATCTTAGACTTGAAGTTGTAGGTGGACGGCCCATAGATTGATGGTCAGTTAAAATCTTAGTGCCTGCTCTATCTTTTTAAATGTTTGCGATAAGCAAACGTTATCAAATCGGAGTTCAGACTTTTTTCGGGTTATCAACTAGTTTAACAAAAACAAATGAATCACATGATGCTGCTATCACGTATGATGCTGCTGTGCTGAAATGCTCAGATTCTTGAAAATGAAAAAAAAGTTAACTGCCAGAAGAGTATTGTTTGCTATAGGGTAGATTCATGGGGGACATGAAACATTTAAAAGTTTTTTTTAAAATCAGTTTTTTGTCGGCTCAACTTGGCGTCTGCTCAAAGATTGTCGGCCTTTTTCGGCTTCGTAAGTTTTGTTCAGTTGCTAATTTGAATTTTAAATATCTTGCTTGGCATGTTTGCCTTAAGTTCTTGTTTGATAAAATTAGGTATTATGAAAATCTATGGGATTTAGTTTTTTTTAAAGTTTTTTGAGTTGCTTTGGAAAGTTTAAAAGTTAGGTTTTTTTCCCGAAAACCCTTCTTCCTACCGATTTTCACAAAGGGCATATATAAAAAGACCGCCTACAGTCGTGTGTGCCTGCATATTCCCCTGGTCTTTTTTTTGCTTTACTTCGTCGTCTACAGCCTTCGAAAAAGTCTTTGGGGGTAATATTTTACCGATGTTTTTATTTTTTTGTGTTTTCTCAAATATTTACCTTCCAAAATTGAGATTTTTGTTTCAATGAATAAGAACAGATTTGAAAAGCTCCCCTCGATAAGCGGCAGCGGCTACGCCCAAACTTATTTTTACATGAAATTGTGCCCCTCAGATCGTCAAATTTTTAATTTTTTTGATTGTTTTTTGAATCTTTCTACTTTTCTCGAAAACTAATGTTCCAAGCCTGAGGTTGTGGTTTCAATAGAGATAAAGGCTAGTGGGAAGCTCCACTGTATTAGTGGTTACGTTCAAACTTTTCCCCCTCAGAATAGTCAAATTTTTTTATTTATTTAAACCATTTTTTGAATCTATTTTAACTTTTCTCGACACTAAACCTGAGGTTGTGGGTTCAATAGAGATAACCGGTAAAAGGAAGCTCTCTTGTTTTAGCGGCCACTCCTAATGTTTTTAGACAAAATTTTTTTGTCATTTCAGCATTTTTTTAAACTTAAATTTTTATGAATGTTACCAACAAATAACCTCCCATAGATTCAAAGATCGGATAGTGACAAACTTCTTTGCATACGCGATTACGCTTAAATTTTTTTTTAACAAAAAAATAATGGCCCTCGGAAAATTCAAATTTTTGATTTTTTGACCGTTTTTTTGAAACGCCAAAGCTGATATTATAGGTTTAATCGACATAACAGGTTGTTGGAAGCTTACCTTTATTATGTGCTACGCCCGGTTTTTTTTGTAAAAAAAGTTAAGACCTTCAAATAAGTGAAATTTTGGTTGTTTCTTTTTCTAGAACTTTTTTAGTTTTCTTTAAAACTATTCTATCAAATCTGAGATGAAAATTTCAAACGAAAGAAGCGGTTGCGCGAATGTTTTCTAAAGAAGCGGCTATTCCTTTATCTTTTTACAGAGAAAGGTAGTTGTTTAGGAAAATTCCAAAATCTCAACACTACAATTCTCACTTATATTATTAGAGAAACAACTAAGGTTTTGGGTAAAGATTTTTGTATTCCGGTGTGTTTTACTTTTTTCTTTTTTTCCCACCATCGAGTTTTTTCTCTTTTTGTTTTCCACGCAAAATCAGGTACCGCAAATAATCATCGGACTAGGTTGAGTGATATGATATATTGAAACCCTTACGGTCGTGATTCGCCCAGTTTCGAGGAAAACCGGTTTTGATTTTTTTGCCTTATTTTGAGCGAATAAAGCGAGCGAGCAGTCTTGTTTCAATTCCTCAAAAGCTTGCAAAAAGCTTAATTTAAAACATAAAAACTTAATTTCATTTGAGTAGCGTGTCTTTTAAAAAGTCTTTTAGTGCCTTTTTGGAATCAAAATTTTCGAAGATTCAAAAACTGCAGAATTTTTCAATATTTTATTTTTTTTGAAGCAATTTTGCTACAAAAATTGTTTTTTAGTTTGCTTCTTGTAGTTTGCTTCTTTTACTATCATCTTGTAGTTTTTAGTTCAGCTCCTTTTATCACACCGCGCCGGAAAAGTAAACGACAAAAATTTGAAAAAGCTTTTTATTTTTTGAAGATTACGGTCGGAACATTCTGTGCTACTTGCACAGTAACAGAATATCCTTGTTAGCATTTTTAGCTGTTCTAATGGTGATTAGTTTTTGTCGGTTGTTGGTGCCCGAGCGGGCAGGGCGTGAGAGCCAAATCTCGAGGTCGCAGGTTCGAATCCGATGCGTAGCATACTTTTACTAATTCTAGCCTTTTTTCTGTTTTGTCTTTATAACGTTGCTTTTTTGTCGTTTCTCACTAGTGTTTGCGAAGAGCAGCTTCGCTTCTGTGTAAATGTACCAAATGAACCGGAAAAAGTTATTTGTTTGAAACAAAATAACAATCATAAAAACTCGATCTTACAAATTTTTGTCTCGCAGTTTTTTGAAATGCATAATTTATACATAATATGGTTTTATGCTTCCCAATTTTTTAGATGCAAAATTAGATTGGATGCTTTTAGTTTGTTATATTCCAATTTATTTCTTGCAAAATTGTGTCTATTTGTATTTGGTGACACTTTTGCTGCATCGCATAGTCAATTTATTGGCATATGTAGCTGCTTTTTTTGTGACTAGCCTTTGGCAGTTGTCGAGCGTTGCTTGCCGAGAGGGCAGCGCGTAAGACTCCTATTTATGAGGTTTCTGGTTTGAAGCCCATACATAGCAAAATTTTACTAATTCGAGGTTATTTTTATCTTTTCTCATTTCACTTTATAAAGCTGTTTTTTTGTCGTGTTCGTGCTAGTGTTTACAAAGTGCAGCTTCGCCTCGGCGTTAGTTTTTTTACTCAAGCGTAGTGCGATAATACGAAGTCTTTTTATCCGTATACTCGTATACTTATTACGTAGTTCAGACTCTTATATAGATCGTGAAGTTTTTTTCGTCTTTTTACGGGAAGCATTTTATAGTTTGTTCGGGCTCAAATTTACTTTTTCGCGGTTTGACTTTTTTTTAAAGTTCGACTCACTTCCTTTGTTAAAAGAACGGCAAACTCCATCATCGAACAGCAAAAGTGTAAAGGTCACAAAAAATGTGATCAACTTCTAATTTCGAAAATGGACTTTTATTATAGGATTTCCCAGCGAATTAGAAATATTGCCTAATGATCCAGTTTTGTTGAAATTGGGTTAATTTTATCAAAACAGTGTCAATCGGAAGTTTTCTAGAAATTCAAAGAGTTTTAAGGCCATCTTTATTTTCTTGGAACTTAGAATGTTGAGATTTTATCAAAAAACATTGAGTTTCTTTTCTGTTTAAATGCATTCCTTGACTCTTTCCAAATGTCTGTTGGTTATGTTCTAATTCAAGTTCTAACAAACTAAAGCAGCAAAAGCATTTTATTTTGTCTGCTTTTGCTGCAATAGCGTTATATCTGGTTTACTTTTGCTGCTCTAGCATTTTGTCGTTGTATCTGGATTTTTGGTTGCTGGTGTTTGAAGGATGTCTTTTGACTGTTGCGCAGATGTGTGACTAACAACCTCGAGGTCTGGGGATCAGTTCCGGTGTATATCAGATTTTTAAATAAATTTTACTCTTGCTTTGAGTTTTTGGTCGTTTAAGAGCTAATTTTTTCTAGCTTTTGTTTGTGAAGTACAGCTTCGTCTGTGTCCTGACTTTTATTCTTCAATTCGACTTCGAATCTTAAACGAGATCTACTGACTCTAACCGATTTTCATTTTAAGCTCAATTTTTCTTTCAAAACAGTGTCAGTTTCGAAAAAAGCGTTTTACTGACTGATAAAAAGATGAAAGTGAATTATTTTCCTCTGTAATTGCGTTCTTTGACTCTTTTCCAACTGTCTGTTGGCCATATTTTTTTCCGATTTTATTCCGAGATTTTTTTTTCAATTTGTTTCTTTCACAAGGTGCTAAATAAGGCTGCTCGCTCGCTTCGTTCGCTCAAAATTAGACTGAAAAACAAAAACTTCAAACCTGATTTTCTTGACAGTGAGATAATCATTTCGATTTTGTTATCCAAATTCTCGTGGAAGACAAAATTATAAACTTTTTTCTCGACACAGAATTTTTCGGAAAAGTTAAGATATCGATTGAATCACGATTGAAACTTTTTTAGTATGATATATTATTCGACTGAATCTAATTTTTGTTTTTGGTACCTGAAAAAGAAACGAACTAATACGAGATTTCTCTACACTTTCTGTTGAGTGGAGTTTTTGGGAGCCTGAAATAATATGCATAAAAGGAGTGTTAATTTGTTAAGAAATGATATGAGTTCAACTAAATTGCGACCTAAAAGTTATGGGATACGAACCTATATTGGCTCTGCGAAAGTGCTTAATGCAGCTGCCTTCTTTAATTCACGTAACTGGTATGAACTATTATAGTTTTCAGCGATTGATGATAGTTACAGAGATAGCGTGTTTCAAACAAGGGGTGCTGTTAACAAGTTTTAAGCACGTGTTTTTCTTACAAGTTTTTTAACATGTTTTTTACTGATCCAAATATTAATTACTGGTTAGTGAACAACTTCTGCAGGCATCTTCTGAAGGCTCTGATCAGCATTGCACCTTTGATGCACAGTTCGTTGCACAGCTGGGCTTTGTCCATTCACACTTGCGCAATAGACTAGCACCGGAGAAAGTGGGAAAGCTAGCCTTTTAATTTTTCCGTACTCCAGTTTTAACGTTAAAATTTTCGTGCTCAAGTTTTTAAAGTTTGAGTCTGTTCTTGAGTTCTAAATCATTGTATTAAGAAGATCAGGTGTTTTAAACATGTTTGGAATAAATACAGTATTTTGCCAACAATGGATAGTTATAGTTCACCTGTTATATCGTTTCCCAATGTAGGTCTGTGTGATGAGCGGGACTCAAAGTACGCGCGGGCTGTGAAGGGGAGAGTGGAGAAGACTTTTTTGGGGGAAGTGTGTGATTTTCTGGAAGAAGTCTACCTACAAGATGACATATTTATCCTCGTGAAAGTTTCAATGAAAAGAGTTAAAGTTAGTGCATTGGCAATTTTTTGAAAAAAAAAACTATTTGTTCTTGAGGAAAAGTGCTCAGAATGATAAACTAAAGTCTCAGTTTGACACCAATCATAAGCTGGCCAACCGAAGAACTAGAAATTGTGTCTGAAATGGCTTTTAAAAATTGACACGTTAATATGTATATTTAAGCAAGTGAAGCGCATGATAATATGCAGGACTTTTTTTTCCGTGGTTACCGGTTCGAACCTTCGAGTCTGTGATTCTTTTTATTCAATTTTTGTAGCCATTTGTGTTAATATGCTATCTTTCATTCACTGCTGTAATTTGGTTGTGTATACAAACTTCCTATTCGCCTCTGTCTTCATATTTCTTCAATTTAATCAACTTATGTCTTGTCCAGATTCTGCAACTTGAGGTTAACTGTCACACGATAGCAGCGTCTATTCTGGAACAACCTGTGAAAAAGATTGGCTGCAAACTGCAAACAGTGAAAGTGTTGTCATCTGAGAACTGTCTGTTGGTTTATATTGACTTGGCCAATAGCAAGTACAGCATAGCACACACTGTCACCCTTGTGAAGGAAAACTTGGCAAAGGTCATCGTTAAAGGTCAGTCAAGGTCACTTCAATCATAGTTTATAAAAAGCACTAAAACTGTTGAGATTTGAGATTTTTTATAGCACTGTAAAACTTTTTAGCTACCATGGACATAAAATTTACTGTTTTTTGAAATTGTTTTTGAAGTTAGACTGTGTTATCTATACATGCGATGGAAGATGATGAAATTTGTCTCTGATCGCTCGCTATGCCCCTCGAACTTAAACTTTGTTAGTTTCAATTTGAGAATTTTTGTTTCACGATAAAACTTCGCAGGTGTCAGAAATGCGACAGGAATTTTAATTCTAACTTAATTCTCAAGCAATTCAGTTATATCATGCTATTCACATACTGATGAAGGTATTGCAACGGTTTTTCTAGTTTTTTCTGAGCTTGGAGCAACTTTGTTCAGGTCTAGCGGAAGTGAATCGGGCTGTGGTGTCAATTGATGACTCAGTGAACCCCCCTGTGTACAAACTGATAGTGGAGGGGGATGACTTCGACAAAGTCATGTCTACTTACGGGGTGGAATTTAGACGCACCAAGAGCAACAACACTTTTGAGGTATATTCAAAAAAAGTCACCGAGATAGATTGAAATTGTAAACCCGTGTGAAAGTGCCGATTATTTGCGGAAATTTTTTTCTAAAGTTAACAAAATTTTAAATCTCATAAAAACTCGTTTAAATGACTGAATGGACAGACTACCGTTTTGATGTCTGGTGTTCGATCCTCGCGCCATGAATTATTTTTTCCAAGGGAAATATTCTTGTAGTCTGTATCTCCGCCTTTCGAAACAAAACCTGCCATCGGTGCTTTCTTTGCGCACATTTGGTCGGTTAGTTATCAGTGTCCGATTCCGATTTCAAGATTGTTTCAATCTCAGTGGATGAGTCATCATCTTAATGTTTCGCTTAAAAGTGGAAGCTACTGTTGATGAGCTTCGCTCTTTCCATTGATACCTCGAGTCTTCATTTACTCGTTTTTTGGTACTAGTTAACTTGTTTGGTGCCTCAAAAATGCCGTGTTCCCTGATAATAACAGAGCTACACTATTTCGGCAGTTTTTTCTAACCTAACTCGCTTAATTTCTCTATGTTGATAACACAGCTGTCATAGTTAATTTAGCGGGTACGAATTTGGTTACCAACTCCAAGGCGTAGGTTCGAAGCTCCCACGCTTGTTTTTGTTCTTAGGAAATAGGCGGGACAAATCATCTACACTAATTTTCTCACGGGACCTAACAAGTAAACTAGTACTCATTTTTTTAGACAGACAACAGTTTTTTTTTCTTCATGATAAAACTTAATGTCTACTGCATAATTCAGTTAAATGTCATACCACGATGAAGTCAATTAGCAGCTTTATTTTTCCAACAAATTGGTATCTGTTTTTTTTTTAATATAAACAATTCGAATGAAATTAAAATAGGAATCATGAAATAAGGCAAGTTAATTATTCGGCGGTCATCGCCGTAAAATGTTTGTCTTAGGTTGCGCGGACATTGGGAATTGAAGCAGCGAGATCCACAATTATTAACGAGATCAACCACACCATGTCTAGTCACGGAATGTCAGTGGACATCCGACACGTCATGTTGCTGGCTGACCTCATGACTTACAGAGGTCAAATATGCGGAATGACTCGTCAAGGTATCAGTTTTTTAGAACTCTGAAAATCTGTAACTCTTTAACTAAATTTAATTTTAGACGCAAAGTTATAATGGGAGTTTGATTAGACGCGATTTATTTCATGATAAGTAATCTAACATAATTACAAAAAAATGACCCCTTAAAAGCGTATTGGTATCATGTTTCATGATTGGGTTTTCTCTTTGAGAACAAAATTGGGGCCAAGTATTTCAGTTTTATTAGTGTATTCAATGGACCCTTCTTCTATGCTAATAATCGCAAATAAAAGTATTCATTAAAAGTGTTCACTTATGCTACAGTGCTGATTTAAATTATCCGGAAAAAATGAACTAAACTTGAGTTTTCAAACATGTTTTTCTCAAATTGGGTTAAGATTAGACAAAAAGTGAAGAGAACAAAAAGTGCTTAGAATTTCATGAGAATTAAAAGGGTGCATTTTTTTCTTCGAAATTCTCAACAAAATTTTACCCCAACATTGGGTCATTTCGGTTTTTTCAATTAATCAAGAATTACGCTGAAACTACTTTGTTAATTGATAAGAAATATATATCACAAGAAGCCTTTTACATAGCCCAACAAAGTTCTAGAAGGAATAAATCTCTAAAAACCTGTATAAGAGAAAATATTTTTGCTTGATAGTCAAGAAATGTGAATTTTACTATTTAAAACCCAAAATCTTTGTTTAAACACAAGATTTAAACAATTTACTCAAATTTTTACAGATTTAACTTTTGTGGAACTTTGTTGGCCTATGTAGGTGGTTTCTTGTGATATATATTTCTTATCGATTAAGTAGTTTCAGAGCAATTTTTTATTTATTGAAAAGACAAAATGACCCAATTTTGTGGTAAATTTTTGGTTGAAAATTTCGGAGGAAAAAATGCACCATGATAATTCTGATGAAATTCTAAGCAACTATTGTTTTCTTCACTCTTTCTAATCTTAACCCAATTTGAGAAAAAAGCTTTTGAAATTAAAAAAAAATTTCGTTTTGTCTGGTTTATTTAAATCAGCACTGTATCATCACGATAGTAGCATAGGAAGTTTCATAGCATCTGTTCTCTGCTTTATTTTTGGCTACGGTTTGAGTTTTATTTATCGACCGTGGCTGAGTGGTTAGTGTGTGAGACTCATAATATCCAGGTCGACGCATCGCGTCTGAGTAGTAACTCATTTTTTTTTTAAATTCGAGCCTTATTTCTACTTCGTATCGCACTTTATAGAGATGCTTTATGTCGCGTTCTTGCTTGTGTTTTTTTGCGAAGTGTTTTTTCCGCTAGTTTTTGAAGTTTTGTCATTTTCAGGTCTAGGAGAATAAGAAATAGCTGTTTTAACGAAGTTTTCTTGAGCCAGGCTATTTTTTGGGTTGAATTATATCTAAACAAAAATCTACATCCTTAATCGGAATTTTTTTGTTTTGGTTAAGACCGTTATCATGAAGTAGTAGCAATATAGTTTTAATCTTTCTGATGCATTGGCTGAACCAGGGGTGGATCTATGATTTTCTCAATTGAGGGGGTTGACTTTTATTACTCGACCCAATTGATTTTTAACCGCGCGCTTCCTGGGACAATTCATATGTATTTGCAAGTTCTACAGCAACTTAGTTTCATCGGGGAGTAAAAAATGCAAAAAAAAAATTGTGCTCTTTTTTTAGGTCTCTCCAGTTTCAAAGACAGTGTGATGATGTTGGCGTCTTTTGAGAGGACTTCTGACCACTTGTTCGAAGCATCCTACCACGGACAGACTGACTGCATCAGTGGCGTGAGCGAGTGCATCATCATGGGAATCCCGATGCGGGTGGGCACTGGACTGTTCCAGCTGCTCCAGAAGGTCCACTGGCAGCCAAAGCAAACTAGACCTCTTTTGTTTCAAAACGCAATCAAAGCTAATTGATTTGCCTCATCTGTTATGGAGAATTGCAAAAAGTTGAAACAGACAGACTTAATTTAAAAATTTAAAACAGCAAATGATCAGTTTTGAAAAAAAACTATGCATGCAAAAGTTTGTTTTATCATCATTCACAGTTTACATTTAAAGTCTTTTTTATTCAAATCTGTCTGTCCCAACTTTTTTTTCTTATCAATCTTAGAGCGTAGAAAGTAGCAAAGTAGTGGGCCGAAAAAATTGACAAAAACAACACCATAACGTTCAACAAATTGTGAAAGTTGGACTAATCCAGAAAAAATCTTAGTTTTAACTCTTAGTATACAGCTCACATATTTATTAAGAAACCGGGCAAAGTTGTAAACCAACTGTTAAACTTCAACCTTTTTGATTGTTGATACTTTCTACGCCTATCTCAAAACTTAAAAGTTCTTTGATAATGATTTTTGTTCTGAAAGTTCAATTAAATTAAATATTAAAAAAGTCGAAATTTTCCAATTTACATTCCATTGAGCTAAAGAGTTATACTTATTGTATCAATAATGTTTTTTAATGACTTGGCGGTTTATAGAGGAATTTAAATCCGATATTATGTTGTTTGTGATACACCTATACCTATCTTGTTAAGTTTGCTCCATTTTACTAGAGTACTTCAGACTCTTACATATGTGGCAATGTTTTTTTTTCAGGAAGAGTCCTAAAATTTGTTCAGGCTCAAATTTATTTTTTTTTCGGTTTGATTTATGTTTTTTTTAAGGTAGTTAATTTCCTTTCTTGACTCCACTACCGAACAGCAGAAGTATAAAGGTCGCGAAAAACGCGGTCTACCTCAAGTTTCGAAATTGGAATTTAAACAAACATAAACTTGAGTTACCGCGGTCTTACTTTTGACTTATTTTGAAGTTCAATTCAATTTCAAATTTAAGTACAATTCAATGTATTGCACGGAAAAACGTAATTGACTTTCACTTTCGGGAAGGTTATAACTTTGTTTTCCCAGCCCAATATTTACATTCTTTTTTGATTCAGTTTTCTCGTTAGCACTACTCCAGTTGGCGTAATTTCTATCAATAAGTCTATTATATATTTTTATGCGGGCTTCACTTTACCGCCATGTTTAAAATTTTTCAACGTTTCATTTTTGCATGTTTAACGAAAGATTTTTTTCACGCTTAAAATATATGGTTTTTGCAATGGTTATGAAGTTTTTTTCTGTGTTTTAGTTTGCGAATTTGGTCTCAATTATGAATACCCAAATTCTTTTAGAAATTTTTTTTAAGTTTCACACAATTTGAAATTATCAAACCTGTTTTTGTAGGCTCTCAGAGTACTCTCAGGGGATGTAAATCTCGCCTTCGAAAATGACTGCTGAATTCATTTTAGTTCCGAGACATGACGAGTTTTTAAAACTTTTCAAAAAATTTGATTTTAAAAAACTTACGAAATCTTGAAATCCCAACCCTTTAATGGCGTAAACCCATGGTTTTCTCAAGCGTTGCATTTCATTCCGCCAAGTTTGACTGCTCAAATCATTCTAGTTTCCGAGACATACGACTTTTTATGATTTTTCGAATTCTTCTACTTTTGCGAAAGCAGGTGTTTTTTCAAAAAATAATCTCAAAAATACTTAACTAAGTTCGAATTCCCAATAATATGGTGGGTCGCATACAAGGTTCTCAAACTAAAATTTTTATCTGGTCCCCAATTATGACTGCTCGAAGTATATTACTTTCCTAGTTATGACGTTTGCATGATTTTTCAAAAGTGATTATTTTCAAAATATTTATTTTCAAAATTGGAAACTGTCGCTCCATTGGTTGGGTGAAGTCATGTTACTGCCAGCAGTTTTAAATATGACAGTCATCCTAATATTTTTGCTCAAATTGTAAGTTCTCGAAAATGGAAAGTGACGTATTTTTTTTAACGTTCAAAAATTTTCGTCAAACAAAGAATTAAACTAAGAAAAAATCTGATGTTTTAAAATTCAATTACGCTAGATTTATAAAATGATAGCTGCAAGTGAAAAGAGTAGAGGCTAATAAAACATGGAACCAAGTTGAAAAATGCTCTCATTCATGAATTTAGTGATTTCGCCAACGAACTCATGAAATATAGATAGTGCAGTTGTATGCTGTCGGCCATTTTTGGGTATTGTTTCTGAGTTTTAATTACGAAAATCCCACACCCATTAGTTTCGGAGATTCGACAATCAGAGTTTAAAGATAAGCTTGAATTTTTTTGTTGTTCAATTCCTGAATTCGAAAACGCTGTTGGTAACCTCCGTCTAATGTTATGAATGCATTTATTTCGTGTTTTTTTTTTCACATGTTTCATATATGAGCAGTTTTCACATCTATTAATCTGTTTGAGGCACCGGAGGTGAGTTACTCGCTATTTGTTATGATTGAAAGATTCTGGAACTTCAAATAACCGTAGGCTGGATTTTTTCCTGGAAACTCGAAAGTTTTACAAAATTAAGTTTTGTTTTGATCCCTGTCAGTTCATTTACATTTTTTTCAAATGCCTGAAGGCCCTGTTTTGGTTTTCTCTATAAAAAAGCCAGCGATCAAAGTAAACTAAGTTGGAATGTTGAAATATCTATTAAATTTGTTTTTATCATATTGCCTCCGAGTGATCGGAATGGCAAAGAAACATACTTGTCAACGGGGCGGGGCGGGGCGGGCCGGGCCGGGCCGGGCCGGGCCGGGCCGAGGTTTTCACTTTTGTCAACGGGCGCAGTTTCAGTGCGCACTCTACAGCTTGCAGTGTGCTAAACGACATGACTACTACGTTCACTGCCGATTCAAAATTCGACGTTTCGAAGGTCTTTATAATTAAGTAAAACAATTAATTAAAATTGTTTTGAAACAAATTTGTTTTTTATCAAAAAAGCAGCAACGGGCCGATTTTTAATAAATTCCCTGTTTATCGGGCCGCCAGCGGGCTCGACTTGAATTATATCGGGCCGGGCCTCAATTATGGCGGCCCGTTAACAAGTCTGCAAAGAAATCAGTTAACTGACAAAATTTTTATTCAATCTGTGTATTTTGATGGCATCTGACAAGAAAACGTTGTTGTTCTTAGAAAATTGCTTGGCTAGGCTAGCTTGCTTCTAAATTTTTCTCCCTAAATTTACCTGGAAGCTTTTCCATTCCCTTTTTATCGTTTCAACAATTGGCCATTTCTGATAGCATATGATTGATAAGTTTGTTAGTTTAATTTGGATAAGTAGAGTTGAATCAAGCAAATTTTTAAACTTGAATATAAAGGTGGCATGCCAACGGTTTGGTTTACCAAAATTGTCAAGTTTGTTAGCTTGCCGAAATTAGAAGACTTTTACACTTGCGAAACGAGTGTATTAGTACGAACCTTCTGAATTTTCCAACCTAATTCTCAAATATTGGTGCCAATTTTGGGACACCTTTACAGCATTTTCACATTGTGCTTTGACATTCGATTAGTAATTAGTTAACACATACATAACAATCTTGAAAACTCGATATCAGAAATTTTCTATCTCAAAATATTTCCATTTTTTTGAAATGCATAAGTTATACATAACGTGGTTTTGCGGTTTGCTGCATGCAAAGTTAGTGTGGATGCCTTTAGCTTGTTTTTTTCATAGTTTTACTTGCAAAATTGAGTCTATTTGTATTCCGTGCCACTTTTGCTGAATGGCATTGGCAATTTATTAGCATATACAGCTGCTTTATTCGTAACTAGTGTTTGTCGGCATAGCTTGCGTGGCTGAGTGGATAGTGCGTGAGACTCAAAATCTTTTGATTGCAGTAGGTCGCAGATTCAAACCCTACACGTAGCCGAGTTTTTGGTAATTCGAGGCTTATTTCTACTTTTTCTTTTTCCACTTGATAGAGCTGCTTTTTGGTCGTGTTCTCACAAGTTTTTGCGAAGCGCAGCTTCGCCTCTGTGTTCATTTTCATTGACTGAATCCTTTAAGGCTTTGCTGCTTGTGAATTTTTTTTTTTCACTTCTGACAGTTTTGCTACTTAACCTTACTTTTTTTACACTAAGCATAGATTTTGTAAAATGAAGCGTGAAAAGTTCTAAACTGCCTCCTAGAATGAGGTGCTCATTGTGTACTTTGCTGCAAAAATATCAGTTTGTTTTTGGTTTCCTTAAATTCATTGACACTTTTTATAACTGTCTTTGTTTAATAATAGACTTTTTAATCGCGCGTTATGGTCATCTGTCTATTTATTAAGCCCACATAACTCTACCAAAAATGTTAGCAAAACAGCTACTTATTTCAGTGCATTATGATCAGCAGCATGCAGCCTGTTCTAATAAATACCCAAATCATGTGTGTTTTGATTTTTGGGTTTGATATTTTTATCCGCGCATTTTTATCCACGGTATGATGAAAAATTATTTTTTTTTGTCCAGGAGTCGGAGGTAAGAAGAAAACAGAAAAAACGCTTTGCGTAGAATTTTAAATCAACTTTACGTAACTCAAAGTTTCTTAAATTATTGAATTTGCTATCATGCCAATTAATTTTCAGTCATGCTTCATTGCTTCGTAATCGGTTTGAAAATTTTATCTGAGTTGCGAGAAAAAATGGACCTTTGTTTTTGATTTTCTGGCTGGGTATGGATAAAAAGAGTCGTTCTTAAATTGTTATAATAAATTAGAACATAAAACTTGTCATAGTTCTGGAATATTTTAAAGTATTTTTTCCCATTGCTGACTAGATAAGTGTTTTCTAAATTTTTTCAGATGTATGTTTTTATTGGCAAAAAGAACTATGATCGGAACAATTCGTGATGCTTCCACAACCTAGTGTTTTTTTACTCATACGCCCCACTATCTTCAGGAAACTGAATTAGGGCCAAAATAATCTTCAGAACACTATCTCTCTCACACACACACACGCACACACACACCAGCCTTTTTTTCTAACTATAACTAAACACTGAACCATACTAATCACGTTAGAGTTTAAAAAAAATAAGTCTTCTTTTGAGTCTTCACAGCGCATCTGGCAGCAATTTCTGGTTGATTGATATAACTGTTTTTGTTCCAGGGTCTTAATTTGTTTCTTTTTCCCTCCTTACTCCTGGAGGGCCTCCAGCTTGGTCTCGTAGCTTT